TGGGGTATGAATCCCCAAATCATGTTGTGCCGAAAATTTCCATTAAAACTTTATAAAAAATAAAATTCAGCAAACTAATTAATGATTATGTCAAATCATTATCTCAAAATTTCAAAACACGGAATTTTTTCAAACATTTTTTTATTGGTATTTAAGTATTATTACTAAATTGCTAATTTAAAATAATAACAGCATGCGTATACAACCTGTCTTCTAAAAAGATTTGAATATTCTAATATAAATCTTTTTTGAAAAAGAGGCGATGTTTGCGTGACTAAGCAGAAGTAAAACAAACATGCAAGCTGAACTCACTCAATTGCTTTAAATTATTTGTTATAAAATGACGTCTGCTACATAATATTATGATCGTGTAATACCCTACACAATATTAAGAATAGAGTGTATTCAGTTTATCAAAACGTTTGTAACGTAAAGAACAACAATCAACATATAAAGTTTATTTATGTTTATATATTCCATATGTTAATATGTTCATATATTCACATCTCTACTTATCTGATCTTACTTATTTCAACTTCTTAATATATATCACGAATTGATTCACTCTATAATTAATAAAAACAGTTCCATCTTAATATGCTTTAAAAATTCAATTAGATTAAACAGCATTTCAGTTAGGCTAAGAAGTATACTAAGAGCTCTATGGTACTACAGAAATGAAGACATACACAAGATTTTGAAAGCTAATAGTGTGCAAAGTATATAAAAGATAAAGCGTACAAGAGAAATCAAAAGAATGATAATATGTTCATATATTCAAGTCTCTACTTATCTGATCTTACTTCTTTCAACCTCTTAATATATATCAAGAATTTACTCACTCTATATTTAATAAAAACCTTTTTATTTTAATATATTTCAAAAATTTAATTATTTCAAAAAACATTTCCTTTAGGCTGAGAAGTATACTAAAAGCTCCATGGTACATCAGAAATGAAGACATGCATTATCAGAAGATTTGATATGTTGATAGTGTGTGTAGTATATAAAAGATAAAGCGCTGAAATGTTGTAGACTTTTACAATGACTTCTAGCGTTGTTGCACTTTTTAGACGCCTACTACGTGGTTCATCTCCAACGCTTGTACACCACGTTTAAATTGTAAAATCAATCGATGCACAGCTGGAGATTAAGGAGCAGAAATTCAGCTTTTTTGTATGAATTTCTATTGGTGATAAACTTTCTAAAGTAAAAAATTTTATGCCTTCTCGATATTCGGCTTTTTCTATAGTCCCAAAATCACCGACACTTCAGCTTCAAAATGACTTGTAAAAAAAGACTAAATTAACATATGGAATGTTGAAACGGCTTAAAAATTTTGATTCTTCTTCGTTTGGGTACTTCTTAACCAACCTGTAAGCGCACAGATATCTTTACTTTGAGTTGTCTTGTCATATTGATCAAATTAATAATATATGGTCATTGTCTTCTTAACTAGAGATCACCTAGAAATCATTACACAGTCAACTGAAGAGGCGAAGACATGGATATAGCTTAATCGGGTTGTGTTGTGTTACTGATACATTTAATGGTAGAATGGTACCAAGTTGTATTGTTATAGGTGTTATAATGATATGTTAATATACTGATGTAACAAATATAATGTTGAACTTAATAAAACATTTTTTTAACATAATGTAAAACGTGCAAATATTAAACATATACATTGTAAGTATTTTATTCAAACAAACAGGCCTTCGCAATGAGTATTTAATACATAGAAATGGTAGAGCAGTAGTTTTATTTAATTTTAATTTTTGAAATTCATTATTAGTTGTTAATAAAAACATTCATTTAAACTTAGAGAAAACTGTCAAACTGCTTTTCAATTTGAAGTAATAATGAGTATATGAAATCATTTTTAAAATTCAAGAGAACTAAACAGTATTTAAATTTGATTGCGCTAAGGTAGAAAGCTTTCGTGATCAGAAAAAAAATAGTGTAAATTTATTTTAATTTCGGTCGGTTGTAATCGAAACATAATTTTCAGTTGTTGGTGCTCGAGAGCCGTATCTTACAATCATTCTACGCGCGAACTTTTGTCGGTTGACAACGGTTTTCAGTCTGCTAACGCGCTAGTCCATCGACAGTAAAATTATTGGATTTGGTTTATAAAGGGACTTCCAACTAAACTGTGTTGTAGTGCAAAGAAAACTTTTCGAATAAAAAATATGGTAAGTAAACCATGTTTTCGTTTTTTTTTTGTGCAAAGTCATAATTGTAAATCAATAAATCACAAGTGATATATTTATGGATATTTATGTGAATTGACAGATTTTATTTGAGTTATGAATGTGATGAACATTACACGTGTAAAGTATTTTAGTTACATAAAAAAATAGAGAGACACAAGTGATTTAAAAAAAATATTTGCAGTTCATAGATTTGATATTTTCAAATCTGTAATAATATTTTCATTATATGAAGACAGCAGTTAAATTTTATCAGTTTTTAATATATAATAAATAATCGATCAAAAATGTCAACACTAGAGAAAACATCCACATATGTAGTTTAAAAAAAATTCCTGTCAAATTAAATATAAGTACTCACTTATATTTACTAGTTTTGAAATTCATTTTAAAAAGTATCTCCAATAATGATTGACTAATAATAATCCAACAGCGATCCAGAAAAAATTATTAGATAATTAGAATCCATATTAAATAGATAAATCAATTGTGTGAACCCATGCATTGGCTTAATGAAAAATAATTTTTTTCTTCCGTAATCAGGATCTTTTTTCAATTATTTATTTATTTATTTTTATATTAAATATGTAACATATTTTGGGTTGAGCAAATATTATTTTAGATCATTTTGGATCATTTTGTAAATTTTTTGATCTTTTTAGTCAAAATTTAAAAAATTTTCTAAAAAAATTGATCTTATATTTATTCCTTATTGCTCTTATTATTAATTAATAATATTATTGTTTAGTCCTTTTTAATTTTTTTTTTATGTCCTTTTTTTGTGTGCCTCTTTTGTTGTTTTTCTTAATGGTGTACATATAAATTAAGTTGAGAACTAACTGCATATATGACTAAAGTGATAAGAATTATTTTTTTCTAATTAATTTAAAATCAATTTACAATATGGAATAATTATTGTGTTTCATTAGGCTAATTGATCAATTACTTTCAACTATTGCAATAAATTAAAATTGTTCACTTAAAATGAATATCAATAACAATACTAATTATAAATAATTCAATACTTTCCAAGCAAGATATGTTAATTCATATCGGGTTTATAAAGATGTGTGTGGTTTAACCAATATTATTTTTATTTTTATTTTGTTTTTGTAACTTAATGGAACAAAACAGTTGGATTAAAAAAAATAACGTTATAAACTACATTTCAGTCCTAATAATAAAATTATATTGTTACAAAGAAAAATATACATTTCATAACAACTGAAATAATGTTCCAGGTATAAAGTTACAAAGAAAATGCCGTATACCAGTGATCTAGTGTTCTAGTTTTTTGTACATGAGACTTAAGTAAAATATTAATATGAATATCAAAGGTAGCATCAAAAGCTAATGACTCTTAGAATATAAAATGTTATTTTAATACCAATAGTTTTTATATAAATAAAGTGTGTTTATAATTTTTCAATTATTAATTTTACAATAATAATGAACCAATATTACAGATATGTAAAGTCGAAAGGTTCCTTGGAAACATCTGACAGCTGGAAATATTATAAAAAGTGAATATGTGTGTCTATATTCAAAACTAGCCTACATAGTCGTATATACAGTTTACTTATATTTGGTATATGTTTTTATATATGTAAGTCCATTCATATAGAACTGTTTTTCATTCATCCCAAGCTATTCTATATTCTTTTAATTTGAATGCTTTCGCATTAACCCTTACCTTACCTATATATTAGAAGTAGCTGTTATTAATATGAGGATTATTAGCTAATTATCGATTAAGTATGTAAATTAAAAATACTTATTTCACTATTTATTTATTGTTATTTACACAAACAAATTATTTTATTACTTCAGTGAAGAATTTTATTAGTGCAATTATAATTATAACTCTAGTCAATTAAATTAGCTGACGAACTTTCGAGTTTCGAAATTATTTGATAACTTACCATCAATTAATACATAATATACGTAATTTTAAATTAAATACACAATAATATAAAAAGTGATGTCATTTCATACTTATATATGACAAGCTATTAAAATTTGTGTTTAATATATAAAAAATATATATAAATAAGTCTTTTTTCAAATAAAAAATACTGAAATTTGTGTCGTAACTAAAATATTCTATAATTATCAAAACTTTATTTACTGTGCGTGAATAATATAAAAATACAAGGAAAGTAGAGGGGCAGGAGATCAAAAAAAAAAACGCGAGAAAGAGGAAATCGAGGTGTGTAGACACATCAAGTTTGTCCATAAGTTTTATTAAAAAGACAACGCGATCACTCAATGCTGAAAATATGGGAGGAACATTTTCCCAAACTACTATCTGGTAATGACAACATCAATTTCGCTTTTAGAGAAAAACTCTCGAAGTCCCCAATCAAAAACAACAAAGAGGCAGGCGTAGAAGGCCTACGTGCTGAATGTTGGCGGCCGACAGCAATATACTAATGGAGGCCATGCATCAGTTTATTTACAGAATATGATTGTGCGATATTATGTACAGCGATTGAAATCTTTGTACCCTGTTTTGAAAAAAGATGACCCGACAATTTACCCCAACTATCGTGGGACCAGTCTAATACCTGTCGCTAACAAGGTCCTTTCAACTGGACTGTGTGAAAGGTTAAAATCACATGCCAACTCACAGATTGGATCTTATTAATGCGGCTTTCGACTTGGTCGATCCACTAATGACCAGATATTCACATTTGGCACCAGATATGTAACAAAGCACACGAACATAACATCGACTCTCACCACCTTTTTGTCGATTATAAAGTAGTTTTCAATAGCCCTATAAGGAATCGCGTTTACACTGCAATGTATGAGCTCGGTATCCCTGGGAAATTAATACGACTATGAGGTTGAGCAATACCTGTAGCTCCGTTAAGGTAAGATCGCGTCTCTCCAAACGTTTTGACACCGTACGAGGCTTCAGACAATGTGATAACTTATCATGTGAGCTTTTCAATTTCGTCATGGAAGTAATAATGCGTAGGACAGGTGTTCATCGTAATGGAACTATATTCAACAAATGTGTCCAGCTCCTTGCTTATGGTTTCATCTACTTTGGTACCGCCATAACGAACAAAAATTATTTTAGCCTCAAGATCAGAGGAAAAATCACCATTGTTAATAGGTGCTACTATGGTTTCAGTAGGCAATTAGAATATGCGAGATATTCATTTTCGTCTTCGATTTTCATGAATTCCCAATATATTCCCCATATTTAGTTTTTCTATGAGTATAAAATATTTTGCATTATGGTTCATATAGGTGTACTGAAATAATTTTTAAAATATCATTTATAATAATATTAGTAAATTTTGCACCACTAAAATGAATGAAATGAGTACATATAATACGAGTATTAACTTACAATATTTACATATTCTACAGTTTAGCGTAAAGTTCTATATATGTACATATGTATATGTATAAACAAGTGTATTACATGTATAGAGAAATTGTTTACAACTATGAACGTTTAAGAGTCTATAATTTAAAGCTTTATTTATGGGAGATAACATTATAAAATTTGTTATTTAATTATTCTAAGAGATAAGTACAATGTATTTGTTACATTGTATTTAATGTTTAGACCTAAGAAAAATATTTTCATCAACTTCACCGAACCGTTAATACCCTTCATACAAAACAAATTATTAGCAAAAAATTATATTCTGATTCAAGCTGCATGTCTAATAGACAGCGTTATTAACTAATTTGTATCCGACCTGTAAAAGATTTTTATGGAAATCATTAGAACATTAAGTAAAACTCTTTTTCAATAAGAAAACAAGAAAATTAGATATGTTGGTAAGAGATTAGTGAATTGATTAAGTTAGCTAAGCTGGATTTTAAACTCCTATTATTATTAATATAAAAACAGATAGTTCATACGGAGGACAGATAGAATCCTTACTATGAGAAATTGTGGAAATTTTTCTCATTTTAATTGATTGGTGGTCGGAGGTGGATCAATATCACAACTAAGGAAATATCGAAAGTTAGCTGCAAGGTTTTTGATTAACAGTTTGAGAGAAAAGGCACTCAATTATAATATAATTAGAATATATACCTGAACATATACCATATACCTTTTAAACACTGGCTATACAAACCGATGAAGCTGGACTTTATATGCACGAACGCATACCATTCAGCCGATACATTAAATTTAAATGATTATAAACTAGAGTTTTAGAAGGAATTTAATGCCCCATGAATATTAAAAAATATATATTACTGATCAATCAACATTTGTTTATGCGAGAAAGGTGTTAAAATGAATATTTTAATTGAAGAAAATGATTCGCAAAAATTTATTAATGATTCCAAGTGATGTCTGAAACTGATGAAGTATAAAATACATGATTCTTTGAGTTGGTGTAATATGTTCATGTAATACCATATAGCGAAATCAAAATAGTAATCATCAATTTCTTTGAGAAAAATCGAAAAATCTTCTTCAAAATGACAAAAAAGAGGATAAGTTAGCCGGATAATACGGGATCCATATTTTGGTATGCGAATAAGATTATATTCTCTAAAACACTTCGGCAAGCAGTTTCATTGGAGTTGAGGTCCATCGGCAATGAAAATATTTGTGTGATCTTGGACCAGGACAATATCCTTTTTCACAATTTGTTAGTTACTATAGCCAAATTATATGAATTCTATTTTAAATTGGTGCCGCTTGTAGTATTTTCGTTGGATTTGAACACAGCGTTATCTATCTGCTCGTATATTTTAAGAGTATGCTTCCCAAAAAGTGGTACTATTTAAACAATGAAGCATCTTATTTAAGAATAAAAAAATATTTGAAAGATGTAAGGAAACTCTAAAATTAAAAATAAATTGTTCTTCGGGAAAATTATAATAGGTCTTGTGTACGCGAATTCATTATTTTCAAAATTCATTAAGAACTAATTTTATCAATATTTCTACCATATATACCCGTATATATACAATTTATTTAAACTTCAAAAAGGTCTTTAATTTATTAATATAAAATTATTTTTATTAAATATTCTTAAAAGACACAATAACCTTCTTTTTTATTTATTCTAATTTCCATATTCATAAGTCCTATATTTACAGAATTTTGATTGTGAATCCAAACTATATATTTCACCTAGAAAACTAATAGAGATTTTGGGTCAGACATTTATTAGTTTAATTGATTTCCACTTATACCTTAATGACCTTCAACTGTCATAAAATAAATCAACTACAAATATATAGTTTATCACACTAGACAGATGCACTCAAGTCCGCATGAAAAAATTACTAATGTGTCTAGATTTTTCGTTTTATTGAACTGCGAATTTTTAAATTTACTTAGCAACATTGTAATATAAGCCAATATTTATATTTATGTAAAATACATTTTTATAAATGCATATTTAAAAATTTTTATTGACAAACGTGTTAATTGTTTATTTTACTATTAACATTATTAGAACGTCAGTCATTTACGTGCAAAGTTCATCTATACATCTACATCTAACTGTCTACACGTGTTTATATGTAATTCTTATATTTATTACAATTTGTTTGCATTTCAGATTATTAAGTCAGTGTTTACACTATGCTTCATTGGCGTGTTGACTTTACTAGCCCCTGAAGTAAAAAGTGCTAATATATTAGCGGTCTATGCATTTCCTGGTAAAAGTCATTTCATGATGCATCGAACACTCATTAAAGAACTTATAAATCGTGGACATCAGGTAAGTTTCCAGTAGATTTTTAATGACATTTAATAATTATGTTAATTACTATAGGTTACTATGGTTACAGCATTTTCTCTGGAAGATCTAAAACTTGGCGATAATTATACCGAAATTCTTATAGAACCTGTATATGATTTTTGGGACGATAGTAAGTACTACTACTTATAAATAAATAGACAGATGGAATAAAATTAAATTACTTCACAGAATTCTAGAATATATGAATATTCTACGGGTACATGAGATTTAAAATATTTATCTATTATTTACAATTTCACTTAATTTAAACAGGTAACTGACATATTACATTACCCTTCACTCAAAGCCTTAACCCTTGCTTCACAATTGTGGTCTTTCGGAGTGTTTGGGAAGTGGAAAAAATTAATTCACTTGCTAGAAAAGCAAATGCTGTTTTGACATTGGAAAACCATATATATGATATGATAATAGCCTTTCTTTCATCTATCTATTTTGAGAATTGAAATCTTTCACTTTTCAACTTTCTTGATTTCCCCAAAGCTTTCTGCGAACGTCTGCTATTCTTTATTTTGTGAAGAAGTAATAAAACGCATTTCTTCAGCTGCTTCTAAATAAATTTAATCTTTTACTGAACTACAGACCTAATACAATATATCGAAATGATGCCCTACAAATTATATTTTTTTTGTTAAATATGTGTTCTAACTAGCTTTCAAAACCCATACATAATAAAATCCTGCTGAAATCTAGGCATAAAACTTATATTGTTTTACAATATATTACTTAATATTGCCTTACTTTACATAGAACTAATTTTTTCTTTTACTTACAGTTAAAAAACATTTTGGCGCTACAAACCTATTCGAATTGACTAGCATGACAGTTTTTGACTTTCTCAAAATGCTTGAAATATTGGGAGTTGCCACTACTGAGCACGCATTACGTCAACAGAAAGTGGTGGCTTTAATAAACGCAAAGAAAACTGAAGGTGTATACGATCTACTCCTGGCAGAACAATTTTATCAAGAAGCATTCCTAGCATTGGCCAAAGTCTATAACATACCGGTTGTAACTACTAGCACACTTGGTTTTGAGAATCACATGAGTCAAATAATGGGAGTTTTGACACCCTGGTCACATGTACCACATGGTTTTTTGCCATTTTTAGATCGAATGACATTCACGGAACGTCTGAAGAACAGTTTCTATTCATTATACGAGGATTTGGATCGGGAATATAATTACTTTCCAAAAATGGATGAACTCGTTCAGACATATTTTTCAAAAGCATTAGCTAACTTAGGTAAATATAAAAGTCGTAAATACTATATACTTAAAATAAGGTTCTTATATGTGCAAATAGTCTATATTACAATCAAATGATAAATGATACCAAATCATTATCACACTTTCATTTCACATCTGCTTTAAAAGTAATTGAAGAAGAAGAATTCATTGAAATAATTAATTTTTATTTTTCCGCCTGTGTTACAGATGAAATACCTAAAGTTACTCAAATGGAAAAGAATATTTCGGCTTTGTTACTGAACAGTTACGTGCCGTTGACTACACCACGTCCTACTGTTGCCGCGATGATATCAGTGGGTGGTCTACACATTTACCCGTCCAAACCTTTGCCAGAGGATTTGCAAACGTTTCTAGATGAAGCAGAGTATGGCGCTATATACTTTGCTTTAGGTAAGCAAATTCTCACTACCAACTTTACTGTAATTCTAGTATCTGTATCTCATGTTGTTCTTGTTGTTGTTGTTGTTATTGTATTTTGTGGGTAATTTAAAATGATAACACAACATGACGCAGCATTTTATTATCTCACACGTTCATCGGTGAATGGTAAAGTATATTTCTGAATTACTTAACCGAGACTCAGAGCAGTTGTTTGTGTTTTTTGAAGGGCCGCACTTGATGATTGCATTTGTGAGAAGCTTCAATCTGGCAATTTATTTCAATCAATTAAATTGCTTGATTAATATAAATTATTTACATTGTATAATCTCAGATTTAAATGAATTGAAAGCCATCAACTGTTCGACATTTCCGCATGAGTTTAAAATTTTTTTTTATATTTTCAGAGTATTGTAAATTGATTAAATTTTCCATTTAATTTCAATGATTATATATGCAGCGATAATGTGTCACTTACAAAAATATTTCAATATAATGTATATTGATTACACACAACATATAAATACGTAGAGAATTGTAATTTCATTTTTGATAAGGATTTATAGAATTTAAGTTATTACCACAGATCATAATTATATTGGTATTACTGATATTGCTATGATATGCTCATATATTTTTTTCTAATAAAAAAACTGCAAAACTGCATATTCAGTTCAAAAACGATTCTCAAAAGTATCGGAACCCTACCTGATAACAGAGTATAAGACAGAATAGGAATATACCGGGTACTAGCTCCCGACGGAGCAGAGCCATGCGACCAGATTGATCTTTTGTGCTGCAACAGACCCTAACAGAACAGAAGACATTCCACCTTCCGAATGAAGGCCAGAGTATTGTCCGCTGAGGAACTCCTAATGTCAGAAGGGGAAAGCAGCTCTCCTCCTAGTGATCTCCTCCTGACCCAAATCAAGGCTGGGCAGTCACAAAGAATGTGACTAGAAGTCTCGTCAACTTCTAAGCAGAGTCGACACTCCATTTCTTCAGACAGACTTATTTTATTAAAGTGATAACGCAGTCCATGGTGACCCGTTAAAAATCACACCAGCAATCTCAACTCTGTTCTGCTAAAGAGGGATTCCTTACGATAACTGTAGGGGTGAACCAGCTGTTTAGCCTGACGGTTGTCTCGACTGTCTCGCCAATAGCGACTTCTCTCGGCTGAAATCCATTTGTCAATTAGATCTCTAATTTGTCAATTAGAGACTTAGATAACAGAGTATTATTACTATTAGATAAAGCAGTGGTTCAACCTGCATTAAATATGGGTATATAATGTTAAACCTTAAGGCTTGAGACAAATTTAACAAATCCAAGCCAAGTTGAATAATAAGTAAAAATTGATGGAATGTAATGATACACATAGCATCTGGAATAATACTCGGACAAAAAGGGATATACAGTAAAAATAATACATCATTTTTATATATTATGTCCCTAATTTGGAGCTAATGAAACATAATATATTTCAGATTATTCCTATGTCGAAACATCCAGTTATCTGGAGCTTCCTCACGCTCATGGCTCCATATCCATTTACATGATTGTAGGTCATGTAGATCATGTGATGACTTAATTTATCCCATATGTAAACTGACTAGTATATTATATATGAAATACATTGTTGAATAATATTGTGAATAAGCGATATAATCAAAATTGAAAATGTAAAAATAAACTATGTAAATAAATAATAATTTGATGATTATAACAAAATATTATTACATGATAGAAAATTGTAAAACCATAAATTCATATAATAAAATATATAGATAGAATTACATATTTAAAACATTATATAATTAAATATGATAAAATATAATCATATATTCCATATAATATATGAGATTTAATATGCAAGCATATACATATAATATATACATACAATATAGGTATATATCAAAAGTAGAAATAACATAATAGTTGAATAACAAGAACACAGTGGTATATCAGTGCTCAAGTCTACACCAGGACTTGAAATAATTAATAAGCAATGAGAAATCCACGTCTCAGAAGTCACCGAAATGATCTGCTGCTTTTAAGTTCCTCAATGGTTAATCTCCAATAATTAATTCAATAAATTCAGGTAGTGCATCAGGTAATGCAGGATGAGCACCATCTGCTTCCGCACAAGAAAACATTAAGACAGAAAGGATTGGATTAGAATATTAATATATTAAATAAATATTTCATCAAAAAGGACTTCATTATTTGCTGAGAGAAACAAATCCTCAAACAAACTGTGCTAAACTTGAACTTAAATTAAGGTCTCTAATCAGTATAACCTTAAATTTGAAGGTTTGAACCTTTTTCAGTTCGATTAAAACCAGATAAAAATACTAAGATCCTTTAGCGATTTAGGCCAGTTAGTTAAGCAGAGCTTGATATTTTTTGCCGGAAGATTAAAAACAGTGGTGTAGAGCCGATAGAAAATCATCTTAAAAGGGACTCTTTTATTAAAGGTTATGATTCGTTCGATAGTATTTTTGTAGGATTTTAATGATCATCTATATACATTTATAAAAAATTAATTTAAGCCTAAAAATATTGATGATACTTACAGGAAGTAATGTTCAAAGCAAGGATATGCCAGATGAAAAACTTAAGATGTTCCTGCGTGTGTTCTCCAGTATAAAGCAACGTGTAATTTGGAAATTTGAGAACGAATCCATTCCTGATCTACCTAAAAATGTATTAATAAGAAAATGGTTGCCACAAAGTGATATACTAGCACATCCAAATACTAAGCTATTCATAACACATGGAGGTCTATTCAGTACACAAGAAGGAGTGCACCATGCTGTACCAATGTTGGGAATTCCATTCTATTGTGATCAGGTATGTATTAATATGAAATTGAAGATATTGCAGATATAAAAAATTTTTATTTCCCTTTCAAGCATCTTAATATGAATAAAGCTGTTAAGAATGGATATGCTATAAGTCTTCACTTTCAATCAATTAATGGGGATATATTGAGAGGCACTATTATCAAGTTGCTAACAGAGAGTACGTACAGGAAGAATATAGAACGCATATCAGCAATATTTCATGATCGGCCAACACATGCACGTGATACCGCTATGTATTGGATCGAATATGTGATCAGATATAAGGGTGCCTCGCATATGCGATCGGCAGGTCTGGATCTCAAATGGTATCAATACTATTTACTGGATGTGATTGGTTTTGTTTTGGCAATGATAATTTTAGCTGTGATATTGGTAGTTATATTAATACGTCTAATGCTAAAACGTGTTTGGCGTGCGCCACGAGTACCGAAACCAAAAACTAATTAATTATAAGTAAATTTGTAATACTAAATTATGTTTATAAGTATATTTTATAGAGATATGTATGTCATATTATCAAAAAATTGAGGAAGATATTATTGTGACGAAGTGTATGTGATAAATATTTTAAATAAACAAATTTGTATTGTATAAATATTTTTGCTAATGAGTGTTAAATAAATTGTTTATGGACAGTATAAAGACATTTGGTCTATAAATTTATTTATAAGAAAAGATTTCAATTTTAAACCAAATAAGCCTTATCAGGTCACACAGTACTTGTTAGTATAACTAAAAAAATAGATGTATTAAAGAAGAAAAATATAATTCTTAGAAAATAATCTATTGTGCTTTACGAACGATTAGCAATTATGATGTAACATTAGGGTGGCTCAGAAAAACTAAAATGCGATTTTTAATGAGCGCACCCCCTAGGAATATGCCATTGACCAAAAAAATGATATTCCCAAAGTTTTGGACCAATAGGATTAAAAATGACGTTGCGCCACTCGAGCAAAGTTGGGTTTTCAGTACAAAAAACAGAAATTTTTCATTTCAAGGTCATTTTTTATCTTTTATCTTATTTCAACAGTTATTAATATATACTCATTTGATAGATAATTAAAATATCTTTTTAATAAGATACGGATGAGCAAAATCGGTTAAGAATTATGCGCAAAACACAATAATTAGTTGAGCGACTGTGCTCTGTTTTCTATTTCATACCTTTTAGCTGGCATGCACAATGCAATCGCAAATGTTTACAAGAAACGGAAAAAACATAAATAAAAAATAAAAATAATACATTTCTACTTAATAATTTATATAGATATTTAAGAAGAATTGAAAATGTAGTCAAAACAAGAATTTTTTCGTAAGTAAAGAGAAAATGGTCGTACAGGGAGTATGACTGAAGTTAATATCCTTTTAGCAAACGAAGCAAGAGCGACTAAAAATTTCATTGATTTTAATTGGAATGAATTCGATGAAGAAATTTGTCTCAAAATGGATGCTGAATCTTTAGTCACAGTTCAACAAAATTGGGATAACGCAGACAGAACGATTCTATTTATCACTCCTATTTTAGTTTCCGCCCTTGACAAATGCAAGGTTTCGGATCGATACGCTATACATATTTTGTAGTAGTAGGTATGGTTACCTATGGCGCCCAGGTGCCATCCAAGATTCTCGATGGATGGCGAAAATCATGTACTTACTAAAAATGTATATTTTAAGAGATCAATTTACATATAACTCGGATGATTTGTACGAGATATATACATTTTTATGGTGAGCATATGTGTGAAAATTTTCACCCATACTAGGTAAGGTTATGTTCGTTAGGCACGTGCTGACAGTTGTCAGCACTTCTACTCGGAGAGATATATTGCCCATTGGGATGCCCTCAAAAAATTTTACCAGGAGATGCGAGTTGCTAATCTATGTTATCCTTGTTAAACCATTTGGCTTTCCAGATGAAGTTGAGGAGATCCGATAAGTTTGCTTTCGTTATCTCTTCCAAGCCAGTAAAATAAGGATCCCCGAAACATTAAAGTAGCCTTGTTTGAAGTCCTGGACAGAGACACAGGAAGTGGTTGATAAATTTTACCTCCTCTTCATCTTGGCAACTCCTGCATAATCCACTTATTGGAATTCGCCACCGTTGGAGCATACGCGCAATGGCACAGTGCCCCTTTAGTACTCCAGAAAGCACACGAACTGCATGTTTGCTGAAGCCTAAAATGCTTTTCGTTTTATTTTTGTCAAACTTAGGCCATAAGATTCTAGCGACCTTACAGCCTTCGCGGTTAGTTTATAAATTGTTAGTCACCGTATTGATTTTCTCTATTATCCTATACGGTTTACATATCGGTGTATGTATTCTGAGGTCGGCCTCTCCTGTATGAAGTTCAGAACCTCTTCTGGCCATCTCATCTGCTAGTTCATTCCCTTCAATATTGCTATGTCCAAGTATTCGAAATGTACTATGTCCAGCAAAGAGAGACCTCATGATGTTTGATGCTCATCAGTGAATCGCAACATTTTAATACTATCTTGCAATTTAGATTCAATTGCTTTCAGTGCGGCCTATCTACAAAAATCGTGAAATTCGAAGGACGAATTGTACTTTGTTGTCTAATGTTGACCTCTTTTTCGATAACTTGTATGTCGCCGTGATAGACGCTGTAAGTAGCAGGGATTCGGTAGCACTGTCTTATCTGCATATCTTTCGAGAAGATACCTGCTCCCGTACTGCCTTCCATCTTTGAGCCATCTGCGTAGATAGTAACTGTAGAGTTACCGGTCACAGATCCAAGCTTCCAGCTATCTCTGGTTAGATAAAGAGTGGGAACCCACTAATGAAGTAATTTTCCTCAAAGAACCTTATTGATTTCGTGACCGAAGAGATAACAAATTTTTTTGATCGTTTTTGCCTATCTAATAGTTTTATCAGTTTCGATCCTTCGCCATGGATGGAGACGCAAGATTATAGAGATGCACTTGAATTCTGTGCCAGACTTGATATGATAAATGATTGTATAGAAAGAGAAATTAGGCTTATGATGGATTATAATTCGATTTTGACAAAATATGAAGAGGGAAAACAATATGTTTTGCAAGTAGTCGAACATTATCATAAAAATTATCTTTCACATATCCTACACATATCCTAACATAATAAACACAATATATTAATTACTGAAAAAAAGGGTTTTCTTGAAATTATAATTTTTTATAAATAGTTAACTAAATCGTAGCATATACCATACCTATTACATAATTGTGCATGCCAGCTAAAAGGTAATAGAAATAGAAAACAGAGCACAGTTGCTCAACTAATTATTGTGTTTTGCGCATAATTCTTAACCGATTTTGCTCATCCGTATCTTATTAAAAAGATATTTTAATTATCTATCAAATGAGTATATATTAATAACTGTTGAAATAAGATAAAAGATAAAAAATGACCTTGAAATGAAAAATTTCTGTTTTTTGTACTGAAAACCCAACTTTGCTCGAGTGGCGCAACGTCATTTTTAATCCTATTGGTCCAAAACTTTGGAAATATCATTTTTTTGGTCAATGGCATATTTCTAGGGGGTGCGCTCATTCAAAACTTCATTTTTAATTTTCCCCCTTATAACGTGAGCCACCCTAATGTAACA